CAACATGGTCATAAGCTTCTCCCAGTCAATTTTGAAGATAAGGCCAGGTTTTTTGTTGAGGTGACGAGAGTGGATGCACTCATGAGCCACTAAGGTTCCATCAAGAATCTGTCTTCCTTTAATGAATGCGATTTGGAACAAGGAGATAATGGAAGGAAGGACCTGTTGAAGTCTGGTTGCAAGGACTTTGGCAAGAATTTTGTAGGAGGAGTTCAACAGGCTGATAGGGCGGAAGTCCTTGATTTCCTCTGCCCCTTCCACTTTGGGAACTAGAGCTAGGAAGGTTGCGTTAATAGCTTTATGTAGAGTTACCCGTAGAAAGAATTCATCGAAGAAGAGTTTAAAGTCAAGAGCAAAAATGTCCCAAAAAGCCTTGAAGGGAGCTATCGGGAAACCATCGGAGCCTGAGGCTTTATCTTTGGGTAGTGCATCTATGCCTTGCAAGATCACTTCAATAGTAAAAGGTTTTTTTAACCATGAAGCTCTATCGTCTGAGAGGCTCAAAAAATCTAGGGAAGACAGCCTGGGTCTAGGGCCAAGGGGAGCAATGTAGAGGGATTTAAAGAAATCTACTATGGTCAGATCAATTTCATCAGGTAGAGGCAGTTGTTATTTCTAATCATCGAGATAAAATTGTCTCTCCTAGGATAAATGGCTATCCGGTGAAAGAAAGTTGTATTTATATCCCCTGCTTTAAGCCACTTGATCCTAGATCTCTGGAACCAATATATCTCTTCTTTCTTGAGAGTAGAGAGATATTCCATTTTTGTCTTGTTTCTGAGCTCAAGTTCAAAATCAAACAGTGGTCTATCTTCTTCGAGACGATCGAGAGTTTGAATGGTGTTGAGCTGAGAGGATTTAATATGAGGGAAGTTACTAGGGATAGACCTACTCCAGGACTTAAGCGAGGCTTTGAGCAGTAGGATTTTTGTCTGCAGGATGTATCCTGCTCTTCCAGAGAGGAGCGAGGAATAGGAATTCCACCAACTTTGGATAAGGGAGTGTAGGAATTCATCTTGCAGACAGAGGAGTTCAAATCTGAAGAGACTCATGCCCCTCTTGACAGCCAGGGTATCTAAAAGAATGGGACAGTGGTCCGACGTGGGTTTAGGTTGTGCCAGAGCAGAGGATCTAGAGAAGTGTTCTTCCCAATTCAGGGAGAGAAGAAACCTATCAAGTTTAGAGAGGGGATTGGTTGCGCGCGGTTGGACCAAGTAAACTTGCTGCCTTGGAGAGGGACATCCAAGAGCTCGTTCCGACTGACAAAATCAGAGAAATCCCTCATTCCCTGGGAAATAGAATTAGAGGTGTTTCTCTCATAAGACCAACAAATAATGTTAAAGTCACCACCCAGGCACCAAATGGGATGAGGCAAAGACACAACCAGATCCAATTCTGACTAGGGCCTATTTCTAAGAGAAGCAGAGTTGGGACCATAGACTGCTGTGAATTTTCAAGGTATTCCATCGGAAATACTGGTTATGAGAACTGTGACAGAGAATTCCCCGATGTGTGAGTAATTGAGAAAGTGGTCTGAAGGGTTCCAAACTATCCAAATACCTCCAGAGGCCCCATTCGCTGCTAGGGAGACCCATTGACAAGGTCTTCTACCCCAAACCTAACGAATGAGTTGGAGATCAAGATCAAGTAGTTTGGTTTCTAAGAGAGCAAGAATGGCAGGTGAATCTTTAGAGGTGAGGTCCTTAACCGCTACCTTCTTGGAAGGATTTCCTAGGCCTCTAACGTTCCAGACCAACAATTTCATTTATTAAAAGTGAAGGAACACTGTGAACAGTCCATATTTTATAACAGTGTTCGAAAAATCAAATCGGAACGGTTAAGCACACATGGGGCCAAAAGCGGTTTAACCGGCCTAACAGGTAAACCGGCCGATTCAAACCTTTCTAACCGGGCAAGTCCCAAGTCAATTGTTGAAAAAAATAAAAAAGATGCAAAAAAAATCTACTAAAATATGAAAAGCATATAAAGAATGATTAAAACAAAACGCATTCAAATGATGTTGAAAGTTAATCAAAAATGGATTTTAAAAGTGAGTATTAATGATCAAAACAATTTTTGATATTTACCATAATGTAAAAATATTAAAAAATGTAGTACAAATCAAATCCCTTATTTTTGAGATTTTATAAACATTTTTTTGAATTTTTGTTTTTAAAATACCGGCCGATCACCAAAACCGACCGAAACCAAAACCAACAAGGGGCCGGTTCTGATCTAACCTGGCGGTTTGTCAAACAATGTTTCATAATCACAGTTAAAAGTGTACATGGCCTGTTCCACACACTCTGTTAACAGTGCGTTAATCGTCCATATATGTTCATGAACACTGGCAAAAGTGTTTATGGACTGTTGCCAGTCAAAACACATTGTTAACAGTCCATAAACCGCATATGGACTGTTAACAGTCCATAGACCACATATGGACCGTTAAGAGTCCATACAAACTACTAACAGTGTGTATGGACAGTTAATGATCCATATTCTAATTAGAATTAGTGTGCATACAATGTTAACAATTCATGCATATCATTCACTGCATGTATGGAATAGACAGCCCACATAAAATCCATTCCCATCATTACACAATGTGTGTATACAGTGTTAACTACTCCGTAGACAATCTTAACAGGGTACATGGACAGTCAAGAGTGAAGTTTATAGATTTGTTAATAGTCGACATACACTATTAACAGAGTATAACCGTGTATATGGACTACAAAAAAGCATTAGTACACAACGAACAAAACATCAATGAAATAATTTCAATAAAATTATTGTACATGATGCATAACAATTGATCCACCATTCATATAAATGCAATGGCCAGCCTAAACCTGTTTATGATAGACACTCATCCACCCTTTTCAAAAAAACCCGCTTCTTTGCTCTCCAAGTTTGATAATGTTGAAAAATATTTTGTGATGTGGCATTGAATTACTCAATAAGACAAAAATGAGCCACATGTGTAGGAACTAGAATATTAAACCACAACAGAAGGCAATGCTTCTAAACACAACAAGATACATATTAATGAAGATCATAGTACTGAGCAGAGTCTTCTAAGCTTCCTGGATGTGCTCTATGACAGGTCGTGAACTATCCCTCTAGGGTTGTAGGCTTCAACTAAGACCTGTAGAGAGAGAGAGAGAGAGAGAGAGAGAGAGAGAGAGAGAGAGAGAGCTCATAGAAAGAAGACGAGAGATGACGTAAGTAAGGAACGACAACCAACCAACTAACTAACTAACCGTAACGTACGTTTACGGACAAACCAACTA